AAAGTTATAAAAGCTAATGAATTTTTAATGTGGAAGTCTGGAGAGACTAGTCACCTCTCCTCTTCCTGTCCAGAGAAGAAAGCTTCTGGAGTTCTGACCGCAGGCGAACCAAATCACCCTCTAGCCGATACTGATAGTTCCTCGGCGCCTGTAACGGGCTTACCAGCGACTCGAACCGGTGCGGACAAACCCCCGTTTACGTCCCGTCCCACATTCCCCCCAAAACTGATACAACTCGCAATTGTGAGCAAGGAAAAGGAAGAATAGCATGTCGTTAGTAGTGGCAGAAATTATAAAAGTTAATGAATTTTTAATGTGGAAGTCTGGAGAGACTAGTAACTGCTGAACAGTTTTAGATTATATTCGCCCGTTCTTGTTCCTTTGCTGGTGTTATAGTGGAACACACCTATTCTATAGTTAATAGACTCTCCCACCTATAATAAGTAGGAGTAGTAAGAGTAACGAGTCAGTCGCTCAGTCAGTTGACTGGCTGATCGGTTGAACTCTCTGCCTTCGGGCGGGGAGGAACACGAACGAGGCTACGCCGAAGGGCGGATTCTCTTTCGGGGAGGTAAACCGACACTGAACCCGTTTATACGGGTTCAATGGGCATATTTTTGGCCGAGCCTACGGGCTCGGAGATCCCCCGTTAAACCGGCCTCGTGCTACATGATACCCTCGTGGGGGGGACTAAATATCGTTGGTCAGTCAGTCGATGCCAGACGACCGTTAGTCGGATACTAAAGTATCATCGACCACCACTAGATTTCTCTGCGTCATTACCTATTATATCAAGTTCGTAACGTTTTGTACGTCGAACCTATTTTAGGACCGACTTAGTACAAATACAAGCCTCCACTGTGAAACCACTCCACAACAGCTGGAACGGATTTACGACAGCTGGATGAAGTAGGAATCTATACCGCAACAATTTATCAGGGGTGTAATCAAGTTACTACGCATGCACTAAATCGTTGCAGACGGGATAGGTAACGATGTTAAATACAGAGTTGATGATTTTATCTAAGATCTTAGCCAGCCGTTTGCAAGCTGTCCTCTCTAGTCCGATTGACTACGAACAGACTTGTGCTGTGAAGAGTAGGATTATTCAGGACAACCTTCATTTGGTACGGTTGATGATCGAGTAAGTTCACAGTGAAACCGTGCTGAACAGTTTTAGATCAGTCGAAGGCATTCGATAAGGTTGACCATCGATTTCTGGAGGCTTTTCTTTCTGCAACCGGTCTCTTGCCGTACTTTCGCACCTAGATCCGGTTTCTGTATGCGTTCCCAGTTGCGCTGGTGGAAGTGAATGGGGTTCGATCAGAGCTTTTCGTATTGACTCTCATCATTAGCCAAGGTTGTCTACAATCGCACTTGCTGTACGTTCTGAAGTTGAAGCATTTCCTTCGCAAGTTAAAAACGAATCTGACGCTACGCAGAATTCCCCTGCCTGGTGCTACCAACTCGGCCAGATAATCAGAGGCGAGATTGTCGAAGTCGACAGAGATTAGAGATTAAAGACAGTGACACGGACCAAGATCAACCGCGACAAGTCTGTTGGCTCTCCGTTAGATGCATGGAAGGAAGTTTCTCTTCCCGGACCTTTCCTCTGAACGGACGGGCCGGTTAAGATACTCGGCGTCTGGTTCGGTGCCGATGTCGCAATTCGTCTGTGGTCCCGGAGGGATCTTTCTTTAAAGGGGAGGGCGGAAATTTGTGTCTCGTACATCTACCCGATTCTCCTTTACCGATTTTCCGTTCATTCACTTATGTGTGCCACACTAATTGTCACCAGTAAGGCTCTTGTGGGGAGGCAGGGCCCCCAAGCTAGTTCGGGAGATGTGTTACCTCTACTTATCTGAAGGGAGTCTGGATATGACTAGGGTTGAGATTTGTCAACATACGCTTTGCACCGCGTTCCTAGATCGAATGTGTCAGCAATCGGATGGCGAGGCCGAATTCTGGAAGGAAGACGCCCGTAAGAACTTCCCATCCTTGAGAAGTCTGCACTCGTGCAAGGAGGGACTCCTCCCTCATTCTTACTTACAAGTTCCTCTTACGGGCGACAGATGGCCTGTCCGATTTCAAGGCGTTGTCCCGTAATACATTATATCACGTGTTAGCGAGAGTCTCCGTTCAAGATAATGGGTCAGCTCTGTCTTACGATGCAGGGGTTTCCATATGTCCTTGGGCGCCCGGATTGAAATGACTTGCTAATGATGAGGCGTAACTTACCTGGCCATCCGGGTTGGCAAAAGACTGTTCGGCGGGCTTGCAAAAATCTCCAAACAGCTTTCTGTGCAGTGCGGTGGTGGAGACCCTGGATCATGCCTTTTTTCACTGCAGGTCTCTAGTCCCATTGTGCAAGTTTATTGGTGATACGGTTCACATGCTGCGCGAAATGTTTTTCGTCCTTGAGGCCAGATTTACCTGTAGCAATGTGGTATCGTCGTTGACCAAGGCTGAACACTATGTGTTGTTTTGCTTGCTAGGCGTTAGTAGAATCGTGATATGGACGACACGTCAAGAGGAATTCCATGGGGACGAGAAGTTCTCCTCTTCCCAATTAATCTTGCTATTTAAATCAGTTTAAAGTCTAGAGTGGGACGGAAAGACAGTGGTTCCCGCCATCAGAATTTTGCAAAAGTTGGGGGAGTCTTGCGCGTATCTGTCGATTAAGAGGCGCCAATTTAGAATGGCTCTTTGACGCCGGTTAAGCATTAGGATATTTTTCTAACTGGACTGAATATTGGCAACCCAGTCCAAAATGAGGCTAGTTTAGGGTTGTATTTTTGTCTTTAGTCTCTTCTTTCAATGTTTACTTAGCCAAGCAATGTAACCTCATTAGCCTGTTGTATTTCTGCCCCTACATCCGGTAGTTTAATTCCCCCTCTCCAGTTAGGTAATGTGAGATGTCAGTTCTCTGGTAGATGCGGGATACATTTCGCGTATGATTCATGTAAATGTTATTGCTTGAATGAGAGCATGATTGAGTAATAGGACGAATGAATGTTTTGATTCTTAAAGTCCCACATTAATTTCGTTCAATTAACTGATATTTCTACCACAATTAAGGATTAGGAATTATTACTAACATTATCTCCTTTTATTTCAATAGTTTTTTCACGTATTACAAATATACTCTGGGGTTTAGATTTTTAAATTATTCCCATCCCTGTCATGGATAAAAAATTGTACATATGAGGTCTAGTTATCACTTCAAAGAGGGTATGAGACATTATGATAGATATTTTTGATCTTAGTCTCTTTTTTCAATGTTTACTTAACCAGGAAATGTAACCTCATTACCCTTTTTTATTTCTGTAGTTTAATTCCTCCTCTCCAGTTAGGTAACGTGAGATGTTAATTCCCTGGTAGATGCGGGGTTGTATTTCGTGTGTAATTCTTGTAAATGTTGTTCGAATGAGTGCATGCTTGACTGAATAATAGAGCGAATGATCGTTTTGATTATTAAAGTCCCACATTAATTTCGTTCAATTAACTGATATTTCTGCCACAATTAAGGATTAGGAATTATTAAAACTGTTGAGGGGTCCTCCCCTTTTTACACAAATGGACTCGCCCAGGCTATATATATACTACTACTAGTGTATACCCGAGAGAAGAACGAGAAAGAGCGACGAACCAGATCGAACGTAAGGAGCAAGAGTCATAGTGAGTAAGCACGTAGACTCAGTAAGAAGTCATACAGTGATACGTCGATATCTAAGACTATATATATATATTTTGCTACTAACCCGCATTCCTGGAACTACTAACCTGCATTACCAGTTTGTATTATTACGTTAATACATTTATTTTCCTATATTCCTTCCTGGCGTTTGTTATTTATTGGTACCGGATTTCATCCCGGAATCCGCAGCATTAACCTTATCTTATTTTATTTAAATAGTTTTTCATATATTGCAAATACACACTGGGGTTTAGATTTTTAAATCATTCCCTCTCTGTCATGGCCAAAAATTGTACATATGGGGTTTAGTTAGGGCCTCAAAGAGCGTCTGAGGCATTATGGTAGATGTAGTAAGAATAGTATGTAAGAATGTGTTGTTTTGGTGTAAGGAATATTGTAGTATATTTGGGTTAGTGATTATAGCTAGCTAAGTTTAATTATAAGACAGAAGAAGACTAGGTTTTCCCAATCCACCATCTTGGCTTTGTGCCACATTTTTTTGTATTTTTATGCAAAATAAATGTTGCCTGAAGGAAAGTCGCCGGTACGACGGGAACGAAGGAAAAGAATTTCGATAATTCAGTTACCTGCCATTTTTTTTTCTTGCCAAAGGATTAAAGAAAAATATCTGGGGTTGAGGGGAACGTTAAGTTCACAAACATTAGTAAGTGCTACATAGTAGAGGAAGTTAGGAAGAACCATGATCGATCACGTTCTAAAGAGTCATGGTGTATAAAACAATAAGAGATTGACATAAAAATCACTAGTTAGAAAGCAAAGCTTGCATCAAAGAAGAAGGAGCCATTACGACGTGCAGTTGTATGTCTGCAAGGTCACCTTATCTATCAATGAACAAACGGAGAGCTTCTACATTATAACGTGAATGGCGCCATTTTTTTATCTTTATTATTTTTTCCAGAGCGGTTGACGGAAGCATTGAAATGAACCCTTTGATGTTAACTGAAATGAATTCTATACATATATATATATATATATATATATATATATATATATATATATATATATATATATATGCAGAGATTAATCCAATATTTCAGTTCCGAGACAGGCCGCTTCAGAGGATTATTCCTCGCAAAATTTAAAAGCGGGAAGCGACGTCCATGAATAAGCGATTTATTGATTACTCCTGTTTTTATGAGCGTCGGAATGTACACGGTCTGGCTGAAGAAATAGATATTTATCTTAGTTTAATCTGGTACAAGGTCAAGTATCACTAGTAACGACGTCTAGAAAAGTTATATTATTCTAATTTACAACTGGGGAAAGGTTGTTTATCAAATCTTTACAGGGAACCCTGGTTATGAAAAAAACTGGGGATTACGCGGATTCCTCGTTTACGGGTTTTAAGCGTGTGCCTGAGGAGATATTTAAGGACATTTGTTTGGAGCAATGAATAGATAGATATTAAAAGGCTAAAGATAGATAGATATGAACCAGATATATTTGGAAATTCTGGCAGAATTCTGCGAATTCTTTGCTCGTGATTTGAGTACCGTTGTCACTAACAACAGTATCTACCACTCCAAACCTTGCAAATAATTCATGCAATTTATTTATTGTATTTTGTGATGTTGGCTTCTTCATTTGAAAAACTTTGGGCCATTTACTATAGCTGTCAACTACGACCAAATAATGCCACCCGTCAATTGGACCCGCAAAATCAATATGAATCTTTGACCATAGCCTGTCGGTTTTTGGCCATGACTTCTATAGAATTTGTGGTGATTTTGATGCCAAAATGCAGCCTTTACATCTGCCGACCATAGACGCGATGTCGTTGTCCATACCTGGCCAGTAGACGTATGCTCTCATGAGGCTCTTCATTCTATTTATGCCCGGGTGACCAGTATGAAAATCTTTCAATATTCTTTTTTGGAGTGTACTAGGGATTACTACCCTTTCACTGTATATTAGCACATTATCACACAGAGAAAATGTCTCTTGAATTTTTTCGTCTTTTTTAGCTAGCTTATCTTTTATTTCCAAAATATATTTGTCTTTTTCCTGCCTCTTTTTTGATGTCCTTAAGCGATACTGGTAATTCTCGAATTGCGTTCGCCAAATTTTCTTCAACCTCGTCCTCTGCTCTGAGGGATGCGATTACCGTATCCTCTAATGGTTCTGTTGCTTTCGGAATGAGTCTTGATAGACCGTCCGCGTGACCAATTTAGTCGGTGGACAAATATTGTATTCTAAAGTTATAGTTTAGCAAAATTGTTCCCCACCTAAGCAATCTATTTGCGGTGTATGTTGGCAGACCCTTTTTTGAACCGAATATCGTTACCAGAGGCTTGTGGTCTGTCTGTAGCGTAAAATACCGTCCATGAATGTATCTATGGAATTTTGTTACAGCGAAGATAATCGCCAATGCCTCTTTTTCAATTTGTGAATAATTTCGTTCAGCAGGTAGTAGCGATCTGCTTGCATGAGCGATCGGTCGAACTTTACCATCCTTCCATTTGTGCAATATGCACGCACCTACGCCGTGTGTACTGGCATCGCTCGTCACGATGATATCTACCTTTGGATCAAAATGTACCAGAAATAAATCTGATGTCAATTTTTCTTTTATATCCTTAAATGCTTGCTCGCATTCTTTTGTCCATATCCAAGGTTTCTTTTTTTAGTAGATCGTAGAATGTGGAGGTTTGGGATAAAATCCTGGTAATATGACACCAAGCCTAAAAAACTTTGTAGGGATTTAATATCCTTTATCTCAGGCATATTTTTTATTGCTGATGCTCGATTTTTATCTGGCTTTTTCCCTTTATTCACTATATGTCCCAGATACTTGATCTCCTCCAGGAGAAAATCGCATTTATTTTCTTTCACTCTAAACCCATAGCTTCTTATCCTTTCGAAAACTTTGCGTAAATGGTGTGTGTTCATCCACCGATTCACTTTTCACGAGTATATCGTCGAGATATGCTATCGTGTAGTCTAACCCGGATAACATAGTATCCATTATTTTCTGGAATATTGCGGGCGCTGTCTTCACCCCGAACGGTAAACGTTCGTATCTGAACAAACCTTTATGCGTGTTAATGCATAGCAACTTTGCGCTTTCGTTATCCATGGGTACTTGCAAGTATGCCTCGCTAAGATCTATTTTCGAAAAGATTTTTCCACCATTTAACTTTGCGAACACTTCTTCGGGACTTGGTAGTGGATAGTGATACTCTTCTATTGCGTCGTTTAATCCGGTTGAAAAATCGGCGCAGACGCGAATTTCGCCAGATTTCATTACGTAGACAGCCGGAGCTGCCCAGTCACTGTATTCCGTTTTCGAGATCACATCAATTCTCGTTAGTCTTTCGAGTTCTTGGTCAATTTTTTCTAATGCGGCAAAAGGGATGCTACGCGTTTTTTTTAAAAATTGGTTGAATATTTTTCTTCAGCTGTATTTTTGCTGATGCTTCCGTGCAACGTCCAAGTCCTTCAGCGAAAACTTCGGGGAATGCTATTTTCAATTCTGTTTGTGAATTTTTTATATTGTCTTTACTTTCACTAATGTTGTTACAAAAAGAACTAATGGCACGTCCCATAGATTAAACTTAGTGATTGCGTCAGTCCCAAACAGGTTGTTTGTTTTTCATTACAAAAATTTTCATTTTTATAGTCTTGTTGTTGAAGGTTATATTCACCTATATTTCACCTTCAAAATTGATCTTTTTTCCAGTTACCGTCCTGGCTATTTTGTTGGACTTTAGCAGAGTTGGCTTTCCTAGATTTTTCCATGTTTGTGTGTTAATAATCGAAATATCAGATCCTGAATCCAGTTGCATTTTAACTTTTTTGTTGTACATTTTTACATGTAGGTATTTTCGAATATACAGGTCTTGATCTTCATCTGACTTAGTCACTTTTACTCGACTTCTGTTTAATTTTCTACACTTGGACATCTTATGTCCTACTTTCTTGCAGTTTCTGCAAGCTTTATTTTTATATGGACAGTCATTGTACCAATGCCACTGGCCGCATCCGTAACATGCACTTGGGAGTTTTTTTTTTATAGTCTGTTCATTCTTGTAGTAGGATACCACTTCCGTTCAGGCGGTGGAGAACGGAAACGAGTCTTCCTATTTACTTTCTTTACATTTGCGATAGCAGTTTCTTCTATTTTCTCTGAATCTTGCTTAATGCTTACGCATTGCTGACAGTACTCGGCTAGCTTTTGTAGTGTCATGTTTTGGTCATTTTCTAGCTTTGCTAAAATGCGTCTTCGCATTTCGCTATCTTTTTTGGACACTAAGCCTAGCACGAATATTAGACACTTGAAATTGTCTGCCGATAATTCGGCCAAGCGAAGATCGTCACACGTCTTATTTACGATTGACGCGAACGTCGTGTAGTCTTCCTGCTCGCTTTTTTGAATATTAAGACATTTCCACCTTTTGTGAAATAATGATAATCTGGGGTTGAAGAGCTCTTTTAGTAATTCAATCGCTTCGTCGAATTTTAAGTCTCTTGTCTTTTTGGGTAATATAAAGTCCGTAAATTTATTATGTTCTGCAGTTCCCAGTTTCCGTAGTAACAATCTTATCTTTTTCTCATCTGTCCATGTTTAGCAATCGACTTCATAAAAGTCCTGATATCTATGATAATATCTTTCGAAAGTCTTTTCCTCTTCTGGGTTATAGGTAAAACTTTCGATCGTCGACCATATTGTATCTTGAGAAAAAGTACTTTCATCCGAGTCTTTCTGCTTAGACAGTATAGCTTTATGTATAAGTTCAGTCATTGGTAACTGTTTCTTTTCATTTTCTTGTATTTTATTTTGTTTTTCGTGTAGCTCCAGAAATTGTTTTGCATTTTCTTCAATTACTTTCTGAAAACGTTCTTCACTCTCTTGTTGTCTTTGCATCTGATACTTAATGAGTTCCAACATGGATGATTGAAATTGCTCCATGATTATGTATGTGTAGAGAAAAAAGGAAGCGAAATTATGTGTTTTTTTTTTCGGGGGGCAAAAGATTAATCAAATTCTCTGGCACGACAAAAATTTTTTTTTTTTAGCACAAAAAATTGGTTATTATAGATTCCAATTAAATCAATAAGTTAATGTCTAACTTACAGTTTCTCCTTTTTGTCGATTAACTTTTCAATCCTTTGCTGTGAAAAAATGCTTTTCCCGTGTTGAAATCGTTTCTTTCGCTGTTGCGATTTTTATTTTTCAACGTAAGTTCTTTTTATCCGTTCGAAGCCTCGTCGCCACTGTTGAGATGTTGGGAGTGTTCCCGCGTGTGTGTATTCAAATAAGGACAAACACAGATGTAGGGAAAAATACTGGTATATTTGAAGAGGTATTTAACAACAGAGTGATTAGTAATAACAAACGCAGGTTAGTAATAACAATTAGCAAGAGTCTACAGTCCAACGGTATCTTCCGGTCGAGAGACGGAAGTGCAATGGTCTCGTGATCTCTATGATCTCTCCAGCACTGACCTATATCGTAGAGAGATCAGTCCATTCTCAGTCAGAAGGTGGGTGCGCCCCAACATATATATATATATATATATATATATATATATATATATATATATATATATATAGAGAGAGAGAGAGAGAGAGAGAGAGATAGATAATGAAGAGGACTGGGATAGATTGATACAAACACGCTGCTGGTATATAGATTGATAGAGAGATAAAGACAGATAGAAAAAATAACATGCAAAGAGATATGAACAGACTAAACTTGATTGATAGAGAAAGTAAGAAAACAATAGATAACCAGATTGGAATATATATATATATATATATATATATATATAGATATAGATATAGATATATATAGATAGATAGATAGATAGATAGATTTGCAGAAGTGTTCTCTATTGCCAGACTATAAGGTATACAATTATATACGTTTACTCTCCATTATATCAAATACTTTCGTCAATCTTCCCTTAGTTCAGCCATGACGAACCTATGAGAATTGATAATTTCAATCAATTAAGAAAATATAAAAATACTTATCAATAGAGAAATCACTAACCAAAAATAAAAAAAATCTAAAATTGTTTTTAATTATCTGCAGCAAATCTTTCTTTTTTTTATATCTATAGTAATTTGCCAAATTACTACCTGTAATTTTTTTCAACAATGTAAGACGGCAACTGTCCTGTTTATTGTGCAATTAAGTGGCAGTGCCAATTAAATGATAAGACGAAAATTGCGTCTATCTATATCTCTGAGATTAGGTATTATGATTACTTGCATTATTTACGTTATTCGGACTGTTTTCCTTAAGGATATGTGGGCAAGATAACAGTTAACTCTAAACTTGAACAGGTTAAGATTGTAGTGACTGGTGTTAGCTTCTACAAGATTCAAAGCAGGCCGAAAATGGGTTACTGTTGCCATTTACGGACACGTGCTACCTTGATTTCAATTTCCAATCTCGATAGTGTCCAAAAGTGTCTCCGTGTCCTTGTGGCTGCCAAATTATTTTGAATCCTACAACCAATTTCTCACAGACGAAACGTCGCAGGCCTCTTAAAACTATGTATCTGTCTATATATCTGAGATAAGGTATTATGTACACTATTTACATGATTTGGACTATTGTCCTCATCTTTGTTGCCATATTTATCCGATCCTTCAATAACTGTCTATATTTCTGAGATGAGGTATTATGTACACTATTTGCATTATTCGGACTATTGTCCTAATCTTTGTTGCCATATTTATCCGATCCTTCAGTATCTGTCTATATTTCTGAGATGAGGTATTATGTACACTATTTACATTATTCGGACTATTGTCCACATCTTTGTTGCCATATTTATCCGATCCTTCAGTATCTGTCTATATTTCTGAGATGAGGTATTATGTACACTATTTACATTATTCGGACTATTGTCCTCATCTTTGTTGCCATATTAAACCGATCCTTCAGTATCTGTCTATATTTCTGAGATGAGGTATTATGTACACTATTTGCATTATTCGGACTATTGTCCTCATCTTTGTTGCCATATTAAACCGATCCTTCAATAACTGTCTATATTTCTGAGATGAGGTATTATGTACAATATTTGCATTATTCGGACTATTGTCCTCATCTTTGTTGCCATATTTATCATAACGTTTCGACCGTTGTAAGCTCCGGCCTTCTGTGAGTTCAATACCTCGTTAAGGCAGTGGAGAACTTGGGGAGGTGAATTAACAGGGGATAGCTGATAACTGACATCCATTAGACATGGCTCGTGGAAGTAGAACAGTCTACCCCAGCAAACGAAATAAAGGGTTCAGTTCGATATTCAAAGCATCTGAAGAAGGCTGGAACGTACAACGGCCGAAACGTTGTGTTAAATATGGCAACAAAGTTGAGGACAATACTCCGAATAATGTAATTATTGCTCTTAAAACTCTATTCCATCGAAATTTTTTTGATTAACTACATTCCTTAGTTCCATCAGTTCTAAACTTCACAGCTAGGACCCGCCATGCTGTCCGCAATGAATCGAACCCCCACCATTTTCTTCCTATTCCATCGGTAAGACCTAACTTCCACTCGAGCAGCTTCTTCTCACGAACCGCTGCTTTGTGTAAATGACCTCCAAGAGGATACATCTCCGGTCACTACAATCTTAACCTGTTCAAGTCTAGTTTTAACCTTTATCTTGCCCACATATCCTTGAGTGGCTCTTGGGCCTTGTACAGAGGGAAAACTCATTGTAAGAAAAAGAAATATGCAACTTTCCATTTTATTCACTCAGTTACTTCGTCATTTACTGTCTTTTTGAAGGTTGTTCAAAGACTGACCTGTAGCGAAGTCTACTGTCCAGGAAGGTTAAAGTTCATGCCTTAATATCCAGACGTTTGCCTATCAATAAAAGACATACAAATGATCATCAATTTTATAGATAGATAGGTAGACATATATGAATAAATTTAGATAAACAAATATGAACAATATCTGTCTATATTTCTGAAATGAGATAGAGATGGACAAGATTGTTATGAACAGATTTAGATAGATAGATAGATAGATAGATAGATAGATAGATATGAACAGATTTAGATAGACAGACAGATAGATAGATAGATAGATAGATAGATAGATAGATAGATAGATATGAACAGATTTAGATAGATAGATAGATAGATAGATAGATATGAACAGATTTAGATAGATAGACAGATAGATAGATATGAGCAGATATAGATCGATAGAAAGATAGATAGATATGAACAGATTTAGATAGATAGATAGATAGATAGATAGATAGATAGATAGATAGATAGATATGAACAGATTTAGATAGACAGACAGATAGATAGATAGATAGATAGATAGATAGATAGATAGATAGATATGAACAGATTTAGATAGATAGATAGATAGATAGATAGATAGATATGAATAGATAGATTGAAGATAGATAGACAGATAGATAGATATGAGCAGATATAGATCGATAGAAAGATAGATAGATATGAACAGATTTAGATAGATAGATAGATAGATAGATAGATAGATATGGACAGATTTAAATAGAGAATTGAACAAATTCAGATAGACAGCAATATACATATAGATACATATAGAATACATAATAATATATATATATATATATATATATATATATATATATATATATATATATATATATATAAAGATACGAATAAACTGGAACTGATAGATGCATAATAAAAGAGACTTAAGTAGATAGATATAAATATACTGAGATAGATAGATAGATAGATAGATAGATAGATAGATAGATAGATAGATAGATAGATAGATATGAACAGATTTAGATAGATAGATATGAACAGATTTAGATAGAGGGATATGAACAGATTTAAATTGTTGTAATGTTATAAGTATTTAGATAATTGTACTTAGTATACTATCCTGTCTCTCAGAGTAAAGGTTATATCCATTGAAAATCATTTAATAATCTGTTCTTGAACAATGATCACTAACTTCTCGACATACACAACAGTTTCAACCACGAAATACACAACAGTTTCAACCACGAAATATATATATATATATATATATATATATATATATATATATATATATATATATATATTACGGATGGAATTCGTTCTGTATTTCCTTCAGAGCGACCAGACGATCTTGTTGCAACGCTAGAGCTTTGACAAGACTCTGGTGCTTAAATATTTTAAAAGGTGGGCAAAATTTAACAGCGAACAAATTCAAATCACGCAAGAAAGAACAGGAAAATAATTATGCTTACCGTAAAGAGTTAAATCGTAAAACAGAAATGATTGCGGAAAAGGCTTAAACGATTTTGATTCCATACTTGTCAGAGATCAGTCAACACAACGATTAAATTATTAAACACCAAAGTGTAATGAACAGAATTGTCCGGTAATGCAAATAAGTTGAATTAAGTTGTCTTTCTTATTTGATTCCTTCGATTATCAGTTTGTGTAGTTACCTTCATGAGATCGCTAAAAAGAGTTTGTACATATGTACACCTGTATTAATACCCAATAAATGAGGGAGGCCCGGTGGAGTAATGGATAGCGGCTCGGATTGAGGAATCGAATTCATTACTTTCACTTACGTGCTAATACCCTTGGGAAAAGTATGAATCCTCTTCTTTTTTCCCCCAGCTATAGGTAAATAGTAGGACAGACCGTGTTCTATAGTCAAAAATACTTTGATCTTTCATCTTAATAACAAAATAAACATTTACACGATAAAGTTTTGTCTTCGTCAAGTTTGGCGTCTTTTCTCATCATGGTATGCTCTGTTTTTAGCGATCTCATGAGGGTACCTCCGTTTGTGTAAATAAGCGGAGTTAATCAGAGTTGAAGAGAGTTAGCATTAGGTCAATTGCTAAGTGTACCTTCATGTAGTAAACCTTTGATTACTTATTGGCAAAGGTCAGGAGGTTTCATTTATCATATCTCAGTTGCGTCACTGTCTCCGGGTAGAGTCCGACTCAGTAGTGGCTCCGTCGGAGGACAGAGGCACAACTGAGAAAAATCACACTGTGTGGTGCCCGGCCTTCATTGCATTAGAGAGAAGGGTCGGTGCCCGCACCGAGGCCAGCGCAACCAACCTTTGCGGGGGCTCGGGGAATTTTTGTCCTTATCCCAGGTGTACTCGCTCGGGTACCTCACGTTAAACTGATCTTGTGCCACAACCAGACTCTGTGTGTGTGGAGCCTCAATTAATTCGCCTTACCTACGAGTTTGTCTATCTTATTTATTTCTCTCTGTTATCTCGAAAACACGAAATACAACACAAAATTATATATATATATATATATATATATATATATATATATATATATATATATATACATACAAGTATATGATTGGTGTATACAGGAATAAATTCCAGTAACCAACAATTACTATTCTTAAAAGAGTGCTCAGTACAGATATTTAAAAATTATAACATAAATATGTTATAAAATCACTACAAAAACATTCAACATCATCACTTGATAAGACACCAGAGGTGTTGAAACAAAATGGCTATTTTGGTAGTGATTTTATAACATATTTATGTTATAATTTTTAAATAAATAATTAATAATATAAAAAGGACAAACGAAAAGGTACCAATATAATCAGTACGATAGATATTTACTAAATATTAATTATTGAACATATGACAGAAATGAAGGACGGATAAAAAGTTTTTAAGTTCGGAATTTTCAGACACGTCTGTGTCCTTTATCAACGGACCGAGGAAGAAGCAGAGAAATGGGAATCACTCACCGACAGATGTTTTTGTAGATGGGATATTTTCCAGTGGAAATCGTATTGTTAGCAAAAATCCGATCTCTGTTTGATTCCGAAATGTGCGAAACTTTTTATGAAAAAAAAGATTTAAAAATTTTGGTTGTTGTAAAAGCGTTAGGCAGGTCTATTATTACTAATGTGTGCCGTGGTGAGAGTGAGATTGTAAACATAGATGAAGAGAGTTTTAGGTTGCGGAGGTTGAAAAATTTCCAGAATACTTACATTTAGGTTTAATTGTACATGCTCCATTCGAATCTGGCTTGATAAATTTTATAAAATCTATCGTTTCGAACAGTGAAAGTTCGGATTCATTTGCGTCATTGGCGGCAGCTATTATTCGCGTTGCTTGCATACATTCGCTGCTGAAATCTAAACGCGGAAGTCTACGAAAAGCTAAGTACGGAATTAATCTTTCTTGCCTAAATTTGTCTCAGTTACTGCGCACAAAATCTATTTACGTAGACACGCTCAGTTTGCGCAATGATACGTACACTGATAGTTATTCTACCGCGAATGTATGCAAACAACTCCAGTAATGGCTGCCCGCGACGCAAATGAATCCGAACTTTCACTGTTGATAACTCCAAAACGATAGATTTTATCAGATTTGTCAAGTCAGATTGGAATGGAGCATGTACAATAACACATAAATATGAGTATTCTGGAAATGTTAAATGCGAACTGAGAGCTGGTGTTACACTGAAAATTAACCGCTCTATCTCGGAGACAACCATACAAACATACAAAATATATATAGATGTTTTCAAATATTGTTTCAATTATGAACTATTTCATTTCTTTTCTTTTTATAGGCTTAGCTAACGGTCACATCACGTTGAAACACTAGTTCTCGTAGGATCACCGAAGTTAAGCAACATCAAGCCTGGTTAGTACCTTGATGGGTGAGCGTTTGGAAGTACCAGGAGCTGTAAGCTTAGATGTGTATGCAGTGTAATGGATAATGGTTCAGAATTGTTAATCTGAGATCCGTTGTGTTCTTTATATTTACTTAAGCGCAAATACTCTTGAGCGAAATATATGAATCAGCTTCTTCTCACTCGGCTATGGGTTAATCAGTAAAAAATTATCACTAAATCCTTCTTATATCCCCGCCATCTCAAAAAAATTCTTAGAATATAAAAAATATTTTCTTGCTTTAAATATACCGCAAAGGATTGATAAAGCCGTAGAAAACGAATAAATCTATCAAATGCAGGTTCGTAGGGTAACATTATACAAAAAATAAAATTTACAGCTTATACAGAAATATACCGCCTATGATTTCTTCATCAATATTCAATGCCAAAAATCCTGCAGGTGAGATGTCTTTCCGATTCGTAACGCCAGTTTGTCTGCTAAATTTATTGCTTTCTTCACAAATGTCATCCAACGATTTGCTCATGGAAATCGAAACGGAAATATTCCTATCATTATTAACATCGGTGTTCAGATAAGAAACCCGACTAAAAGGAAATCGAAGAATAAGGATTAATGGCACCATATTTCATTTTAGCCCTCAGGAAAAGCATGAGCCCTAAATGCAATTTGAAGGTCGGGAACTTTAGAATCAAGCAGACGTGGAAGTTTAAATATCTAGGAAGCGTTTTGACAGAGGACAGTAAGTGCGACACTGAAATCTGTAGACGTATTGGGATGGCCAAGGACACATTCCAAAAGCTGAGTAGAGTATTACGAGACAGCAGGATTTATTTGGTAACAAAGAAAAGAATAATGACATCTGTTCTTCTTTACGGCACCGAATGTTGGACGATTTCCTCAAAGATGAAGAAGAAACTCGAGGCTACAGAGATGTTGTTCTACAGAAGGATGGTGAGGATATCATAGACCGAACGTGTGAACAAGGACGAGGTCTTAGAGAGGTTGCAAACAAGGAGGAAGCTTATGCTTAACAGAAGGATATCTTTGTTAACAAAGAAAAGAATACTGAGCTGTTACGTGATATCTGTCCTTCTTTACGGCAGCGAATGTTGGACAATTTCCTCAAAGACGAAGAAGAAACTCGAGGCTACAGAGATGTTCTACAGAAGGATGATGAGGATATCATAGACCAAACGTGTGAGCAACGACGAGGTCTTAGAGAGGTTGCGAACAAGGAGGAAGCTTATGCTTAACATTAAGAAGAGGCAGCTGAAGTTTCTGGGACACATAATGAGGAAGGATGGCCTGGAAAATCTGATACACACGGGTCGAATAGAGGGAAAGAGAGACAAGGGAAAACAACGTGTGAACATACTTAACGGCTTTAAGTAAGTGGATGACAGAACGTGATCTGGGAGAGGGGAAGGACTTGTTGAAAGCTGCAAGGGACAGAGGGAAATGGAGAGCCATGATCGCCTACGTCCTGAAAGGACACGGCACATAAAAAGAAAAAAGGCGCGCAGTGTTGCTTTTTTAGATATCATTTGATGAATGATTTGGGGCTAATATCTGGTGTCGCTAAACTACGAAACAAAACGTCTCATCTGTCTAAATAAATTGTTAAACTCAATTTCACAATCCTTAGTATATCATAAAAAATTTTTAAAATTTAACAAGCGAATAACCTTTTCTTTCAATGTCTACGTAATAAAGAATTCAAAGAATCTGCAATGTTATTTGTTCTGACCTGCCATCTTGTTTTCAGTCACTTTCATGTCTCCATGACGTTGCTTCTCTGAACGTTTTCTAAAAATATTTTTACGGTTTTTGTTTGGCTGAAATTTCGTCCAATTACACATAGACTTACTGAATTTATGCGTAGTTCTAAATTGACGATAAGGTTTCATCATTTTACAGTTGAAATGGCAAGATGTAACCATAAGGTATGGGTTAATCAGTAAGATATGTATCATTAAAACCATTACTATCTCCCCACAAAATAAAACTGTACAAAATTATTTATATTTCGAACATTAAAAAACCCAGAGAGGTTGATTTACCGCTAAACAAAAACAACAATTCAAAAAAATTAGACCGTTACTAGCTATGGACAGAATGTGAAATTCCATCACTCAAGAGTTGTGCTAAGTGCATCTACTCTCTGTTAGAAACTTGCCCCTTTAATGCCCAATGTAGAAACCATTTAATAGAAGATTCCTTCAGTTCTTTGAAAGAAAAATTGTCTGCTGATCTTAAAGCAACATGCAATACAGACCAATTAAAGAATAAGATGGCTCGGATTTAGGAGGATTCTTTCAAGGAATTTCGATGTTTTTTATTCTCAAGTGAGACAGCTTTACGAATAATATTTGTTCAAAGGTTCAATGTTGTAGCACATCTATTTTTGTATAAAAAAAAAACATTTCTGTTAGTATCATTAAAAAAATATATGCTCGTATCAATAAAAAAAACGTCTATGCTAGTATGAATGAAAGTAATTAGTATCAATAAAAATCATCTATGTTAATAACAATAAAACGTCTTTGTATCAATAAAAATATCAATGTTAGTATCAATAAAAAAGATTATCAATAAAAAATCATCTATGTTAACAATAAAAACGTCTTTGTTAGTATCAATAACAAAACATATGCTAGTCACAATAAAAAAACAACTATGTTAGTATGAATAAAAACATTTCTGTTAGTATCAATAAAAAATAATTTGCAAAATCTAACCAAAATTGTTCTTCAACCAATTAAGGGCCACGTTACTTAGAATTTTTACGTTGATAATGACAAAAAGTCTCTTTTATATTGAATAAAAGAATCTGTTCAATGCATAATGAGTTTTATTTTGAATAAAAGTGTCTTTAATTTGACTAAATGTGTCCTTAATTTGAATATAACAGTCTTTAATTTGAATAAAATTACCTTTAATTTGAAACAATTTTAACTGAAATGAAATATATTTTATTTCTATAAAAGTGCCTTTAGTTTGGATAAAATTAACTAAGCTGAAGAATAGTATTTTAATTTGAGTAACATTATCCTTAATTTGAATAAAAGTATTTTTAATTTGAGTAAAATATATTTAATTTGAATAAAATATCAATTAATTGAATAAAAGTATCTTTAACTTAATGTGTCTTTAATTTGAATAAAATATTCCTAATTTAAGTAAAATATTTTTATTTGACTAAAGGTGTCGTTAATTTGAATAAAAGTATACTTAATTTGAATAAAATTATTTTAATTTTAATAAAATATATTTCATTTGAATAAACGTGCCTTTAATTTGAATTAATGTGTTTTTCATTTGAAGAAAATGTATTTTTTATTTGAATAAAAGTATTTCTAATTTGATTAAATGTATCCTTAATTTAAATAAATAATTTTCAATTTAAGTAAAATATTTTTTATTTGAATAAAGGTGTCTTTAATTTGAATAAAAGTATACTTAATTTGAATGAAAGTATTTTAATTTGAATAAGATATATATCATTTGAATAAATTTTAATTTGAATTAATGTCTTTAATTTGAAGAAAAAGTATTTTTTATTTGAATAAAAGTATTTTTAATTTGAAGAATAAGTATCTTTAATTTGAATAGCGGTATCTGGCTTTCGTGAATAACTATAATCAAATAACTGATGTACTTTGTTAGGAGCAAAACATTGAAAATGAAATGGGATTCAGTATTATTCAAATTGTTTTCGTCCAGAACGTCATATACTCTAGAGGAAGAAAAAAAGGCAGACACACTTTCATTGTAGGCTTTTGTAATTACCACTGATTTTTTTTTTTATATATTCGTGAGAAATAAATTTAAATATTGCTACATGAGAATTGAATTCTCTTTCCTAAACCAAAACTTCAATATTATATTTCTAACTATTGAATAGTTTTACTCAAAGAAACATTTTTAAAATATTTAACAAATACTGAATAAGACATTGGTAAAATGAAACAAAAAACTCTATTTCATGTAATGTCGCGCGGAAAATTTTCCTTCTGTTCGTTGTTCAGTGATGAGGCACATGAAAGACTTCTGTTGCCTCGAAGGGGCTTCCCGATGACGTTTTAAATGTGGTAAACAGTACCACGAATTGCTATCACAAGCAGGGCCATACAAAACCGATTTAGCGATGTAAAATATTTTTTCTAAATCTATTTTTATTCAATGAATCCATTTGAGTTAATTTTTTTTTACAGTTACGTGAGAAATTCAATTAAAATATTGGAATTGTTCCGGTAAATAGCATTCCCCAAAGGAACTTTCAATCTAGATCTTGATTTTCCTTAGCCATCATCTCTCTTTTTCATTTTTAAACTCTCTCTTTCTCTCTATCTATCTCTCTCTCTCTATCACTCTATTTATCCCTGTATATATATATATATATATATATATATATATATATATATATATATATATATATATAGATAACTAGACTCGTTTCGAAAAACCCTCGAATTTTTGATTTGCTAATCAAATCAATCTCGAGGGAAAAAAAGGTTTTAAAAAAAGTAAGAGCTACAAACATGGACTTCTGCCGATAAAAAAATCGCACAGATGCAGGTCTGAAGCCCAAAGAAAAAACCCCGATACGAGTAACAACTAACAAAAGAGCTCAATACAACCGTAGAGCAGACCTAGATACATTTAGTGAGCCAGACAAACCTACCTAGGTTTCACCTAAACGGATCGTCAGGTTTGTCTGGCTCACTAGGTGTATATATATATATATATATATATATATATATATATATATATATATATATATATATATATATATATGTGTGTTTTCTTTTGAATTTGTAGGTCTGATGAATTGGATCGTATTTACGATTCCAATGGAATAAATTATGACCATGGAATAGTGTTTAAGCCTTTTTTTATTATATATTATATATATATATATATATATATATATATATATATATATATATCTCTGTTCTCTCTCTCTCTCTCTCTCTCTATATATATATATATATATATATATATATATATATATATATATACAGACAGACACACACACACACACACATATATAT